AAAACCATGGTGTTACAGTATACAGTACCTGTCTCTTATACACATCTAGATGTGTATAAGAGACAGGCCCTGTACAGTAGTTCAATCATTCATTCATTCATTTCCATTTATTTTTATTTGCAATAAAATACATTATATAAATTTTAGTGCACAGGAATTTTGTTCAGTTTAACAGTAGGACTACCAATTTGTTTGCAAAATTTAACCAGAAAACTGATTGTCTTTTTGTCCCGTCGACTACTGTATCAGACATAAAACTTTCTTGATACAATATCGAAATCTGACGTTCATCCCTTAATCCAACTTACTCCAGATCCAATGTTAATCCAACATTGATGTTCAATTCAATAGCAGAGTATGTTAACACATGTTTCCAACGTTGATTCAACGATTTTCAATGCCACAAAGAATGGCGCAATAGACCTTTCTGGAGTGTCAATCAAACTTAACAACTGGCCAATCAAACTTAACAAGCGCTAGGGATTCACACGCGTCTCACAAACACATGTGTTGTCCCACAAACGCACGTGTCCGCGTATGTTTTAACACTGTCGCCTTGTGGGACCTTAGCAACAATATCCAAGGGGCGGGGCTTAGCGGAATGGTCCATTTGTGTTCAAGGGTAAGGTTTGGCACAGCATAAATTATAAATAAGAAAAAACTTGGCTTTATTCTAGCAAAAGAAATAATTCTGCAAACGTTTGCAGACCCAGTGCAAAAGATGATGGGGATGAATCTAGCCTCATCCATATATGTATGCCTGGGGCCATAGGATAGGAAAAAGACTTGGCTAAGTTTGAGCAAAAGTAAGGCGAGACTTTTTTTATACCTTGTTTAGCGAACCGCAGCCCCGTTTAGCGAACCCACCGCTCGCCAATAATAATGATTTCAAATAAAAATGAAATTTTATTTTTTCCCAATTAGCCACCACAAAAAAAAAAATGGAAATTTCAGAAAATAATATAAAAAAGTTTTTCTTTATTTTTAATACGCCCACCGGCGGCAACCTTGAAATCTCCAAAAATAAGATATTTATATTTTAGGAGGATTTGTAAACCATTAGCAAAAGCTTCTTTAACTATTAAAGTTTAGAGCTGCAGTAAAACAAAAATAATATAGTTTTCTAAAGGTGTTGCTTCTGTTTTGGCTCTGCCTAGATATTTCTTTTTTTTTATATTTTGAATTGAAATAATATATTTGATTATTTTTCAGTTTTCAAATCCTCCTCAGTAATATAGCAGAATTAGTAGAAATATTTTATTGACTCCTTTTTTTCTGTGTACATTGCAAATGTGATATCATACCAGCATAAACATCCTAATTGGTAAAATGGAAAAAAAGTGGACCATTTTTTAAGATGAAATACAATTTTTTTTTTAAATTGGCCTATTATCAACATATGGCTAACAACTACAGTACATTAGTATGTATCTACAGTAGGAAATAGTAAAGTATTTTTATGATGGGACAATATAAAACACTGCAGGAAATCACATGTACCACACTTCCTATGATTCCGCTACAGCTAAGCCAACGCTACATGGTAGGTTTATAGGTGTATGTTGGATTTCTATGGTCAATACTTCACATGAATACAAATACTTTGAAGAGATTTCATCAATGGATTACCAGATTAGGAGCCCTAGCAGGACTTGAAGTTCAACTAAGCTGAGTGATCAGAAACTCAGGAAACCATTCGGTGGATTACGAGATTAGGAGCCCTAGCAGAACTTGAAGTTCAACTAAGATGAGTGACCAGAAACACAGGAAACCATTCTGGTGTTCTTTAGTAGTAACCAACTGGAACTTGACAAAAACCATGGTGTTACAGTATACAGTACTATACCATCCCCTAAGGGCATTGAAAACAAAATTAATAACCAAGGAGGTCAACCTTCTGTATTGCAAGCAACATCCGGCACTTTCTGTTTTTGAATTAGGAATTGACAATGGACTTTCCTTTGGCATTTTTCACTATGGACAATCAAATTTCTCTTGAGTGTTTTTTCCTGGAAAAATGGCTTTATAATAAAAACGTAAACCATCAATAATGCCATGGTGTTAATATGTGCATGCTTAATAGATCAGCCTAACCATCACCTGCAAATTACACCTGCCTCAGTGTAAGCACAGCCACAGCATCAGCATTCCTTTAATAATTAGTGTATGTTTGCACCCACCCTTCCCACACAGCCCCTCTCCCACCACACTTAATAAAATCAATATTATATTTATTTGCTCTTTTTAGACAAACAACCTGTTGGTGTCTACACAATGTACTGTACAGTAGGCATTTTACAGGTGGTTTTAGAAAGAAAAAAAATAGGTTACCCATCCAGCCCCACCCTTCCTTTCCCCTTACCCAGGTAAGACTACATTAGATTGTAAACAGTACAAATTAGTGAAAAAGTAAAACACAAAACAAGTAGTGTATCCAGGTGTATGTGGGAGTGTGCACACCCCTTCCCACAAAAGGAGCTCCCTAATCCCCCAGTTTGCATCCCCATTGAAAATTTTTGAAGCAAAAATTCTCACTCAATTTGTTAAAAATCACCTCAGCAAGATAGCTCCACTCCACACATAATCATCGAGCACCCCCCCCCCCACAACCACTTAATATTTCTAGAACATTCAACATACACCATTATTGCACAAGACTGTCCCTGACTAATGACATTCCTCCATGAAAATACTAGCTCACGATGAAACAATGGCATATGATGTAAAACTACGTTGATACAACGTCGATATCCTAAAGTTACCGTAATCCCTTGATCCAACTTCCTTAACCAAAAACAAAAAACTTGTCAACAATATTTCAACGTTGAGTCGACGATTTCTACTACAACCACAAAAATGACGCAATTCCCTACCAAAATAAGTACGTAAACTAGTATAAGTCAGACATAAGGCCTAGCTAGGTGTATTTATGACAAAAATTCCGCTAGGTATGTTCCGGCAAAAGTTTGCATGCCTGTAATTGGGGCCTACTCAGTATAGGTAGGAGGGTATCACCACAGTACCACTCTATACGGCAAGGTCATGGACATGGCTAGGATATATGGGCCTAGGCCTAACTAGGGGGAAGGCCTACACCTCACTCAGGCTTAATTCACTACACCAGTTTAGGCTAAACCTACTAAATATTGAGACAGTAAACATAGTGTTCTTACTTACCGCCTAGTATCAATATACACAATGGAAGTAATATAACAATTGCTTATTTTTGATCACACAGCCCGAATACATTCACACCCTTGGACTTCAAGCTTCAGAATGGAACAGAACAAAACAGAGCAGAGCAGCAGAGAGTAACGAAGATTTCCACATGTTTGAGTTATTTATCATAGCGCCATCATGCGTCTCAGAAAGTATGGCCCTAATAATAGTTGATCATTATCTGATCATCATCCTAAAACGAGCCTCTAATCATCATCCACTAATTATCATCTGGTGATCACAGGCCCTGTGGCTTTCTGAGACTGGGGGCCCTTTTTGATCCGGTAGCCAATTCGATTTTCCAATATTTTTCATTGTGTTCCAGCTTGTTTTTCGACGAAATAAATTATATGATATCAAGTTGCAGCTAGATCCACCAAGTATTTGAAAGAGAGCGGGAATGGGGCAGCTCACAGATCTATATCACCTCAACAGGCCTGTAACCAGGAACCCTGCCGTTTGCTAGCTGGCTCCGCTTGGATGGCAAAAAAAAAAATCTCGAAAGAAGATTGCTTAAACTTAAAAAAAAAAAAAAAAAAAAAAAACAATCCTGTTCAAATAATCTTTACAGACAGTAGCAACTTTAAATAAAAAAATCCTAGTTACGGGCCTGCTCAACCCCACCAATTTATGATTATGGCAGCTCTAAATGGTAGGAAATGGCCCTCATAGACTTCGTTGTCCCAAAGCAATCTCAGAACTGGGGGTTGAGACATGAAATAGTCTCATAAACGTGTCTTTTTTTAGTTTTACTAAGAGACTCAAGAGTCATTTATTACAGAGGTTACCTCGGCTAGCGTCATTCCTGTCGCAAATACGAGTACAAATACATGAATGGGTGTTTTGGATGTTTTTATGTTTTATATTTTGATGATGTTGATTTTTGTGTTTTATTTCATGAAATATCTCATTGGTCGGTCTTTATTTGCTTGTATTTTCTTATTGTTCTTTGAAATTGTTTCTATATTTTGGGTTGGTGCAGGTTTTGGATGGGTACATCTATCTTCGGATGACAGTTTTATACAGTACTTTTGCCCATCCTAGGCAGCCCATACCAACTTTATTGTTTTTGTTTATTGTCGGAAGATTTAAATAATAAAAATAAATAAATAATAAAACGTGAGTATATTCCTTTTATCTTCATTTTTAAAACAATTGGTATATTTAGGGGGCAGATGCGGCCCATGTACAATGGGCCCCGAAGGTGCCCCTACCCATAGGGTCCTCGACCTAGCACCCTTTCAAAAGGGCTTTGTTGATACATAACGGCATAAGGTGTCTCCATATCATATCCAGTGGCGGATTACAGGGGGCCCTGTTTCTTCCCCCCCCCCACACTTTAATTTTAAATATATTGGGAAATGGTGGCACTGGTTGATGCTCGGTCCGAGCCAATGAGTTGTGGATAAAGACCGTGTTTTGCCTGTCTGACGGAGGGACTTAAGCTAACTGTCTCTCCAGGGTATGCCAATGTAATATGTTCCAAATGAGCAAGGGTGATTAACGCGCCTAGCCTATGTTCATTATTGGTTTCCAATATTTTTTGTTACAACTATTATCACTTAATCGTCATCACCATCAACATTACATCACCCCCACCATTATCAATATAATCCTTGCACCATCTCACCATCATAATTGTCCTCAAACGGAGAAAATAAACATAGGCATTGAATTTTGGCCAAAATTTGTACCGCACATAGAACCATTAAACAGCTTTAAACTTATTGTCAACTACTATCATTCCGTCTATTGTAGGCAAATTATACATATTTAACTAATTTTAATATTGTAGCTTTATTTTCAGATGACATCAGCATAACAAACTTATAATCATTAGGGCAGAAATGAAAATCCTCCTCAACACCATCACCGTCATCATCCTTCATCATTACCGTCATTGTCACCATCATGACCATCTTCGGCTGTCGTCGTCATAGTCATGCTGGCGATGGCGGCGTAATCGTCATCAATATTATCATCTTCATCATTAGAAACAACTTCAGCACACAAGAAATAATATTGCAAAAATGAAAAACATATTCAAATAACAAGAGTGTACCACCTCCACCAGTCCTTTCTAGACACCATATAGGCCTATGTTGTGACCTAATAAAACAAAGTTAAATAAATAAAAGTTAAATTCAAGAATACTAAACTTTAGATAAGATTCGTACGTTTATGTCGCTTCTTTGCCATGTTGACGAAGTCGTTAACCAATTTACTCTCAATCCGATGATGTTAGTGTGTAAGTTTGTTTTTTGGCTCCGTCGGTGTTCGTTTTATGACACGGTTCTCAACGCAACTTTATTTATTTTCCACTTCATGACAGAAACAAATCAAAGAAGCTTAAACAATTTCATATTTATATCTCTAAATTCCAGCATTCAATCGTTTAAATTATTATGAGATTAAGAAAAGTAGGTCTACAATGTATTATATACGGTACGGTATTAATAGTAATAGCTTTCTTTAGAAATTTAATTTTCAGTGATTATGGTTTGTAAATGTTTATAAAACTGTTCCATCTTCTGTGATTAGAAAACTGGTAATAAATGTGTATTTTTCTTTCGCTTTTTTGACGTGACATCATCGATGACCTCTTTAAGAGTTTTGTCCCGATATGTTTTCCATGCCTCGTGTCGCTCCAGATTAACTTGCATCTCTTGGTCGGTGGGATATGGGACGCCCTGAAAATACAACCAAAGAAATATAAATTACAAATACACTTCCTCACTAAAAAGTAATGGAAGATATTCAACCTAAATTAATAAGAATCAAATGGCACAACAAATAGGAATGAGAGAATATCGTACTACTGTATAACTAAATGAATGTTCTTTCTGCATCCGACCAAATTAATTCTTAACAAATTAAAAGGAGAAAAATATTCAATAACTGGAAGTTTTTATCAGAACTATAGAGGGCGTTGTATTTCATTATTTATTTTTCTATCCTCCTACTGTTGAACTAAATACACGTTTCAATTTTAATAAACTCAACACGTTTACACCACAAGAAATAAGTCTTTTTACACAGTATCACAGAAACAAGTCTACTTACTGCAATACGTATTGTGTGTATCTGAAAGTCCGAAGCATTATCAAGAAAGAACTGTTTAGAGAGAACCAAGCACTCAGCCCCATCGCTGACCAAGCTCAGGTTTGGTTGATTACCAAATAAATCGTTCGTAAGACCCTAAAAATACAAGGTAAAAAACAAGGTTTAAACAAGCCATAACTACCGTAACTATATTGCAGTTAATTTTGAAAATCTTCAGAATATTTATGATTTGTGTGTCTTAAGGCATGTAGACACTTAACTATCGGCTGTACCATTATTCCGTTGCCATAATCATGTCAAAAACGTAAGTACATGTGCTTAACCAGTCAAAGTCTTAAGAATAGTAGGCTATGCCTGTGATAAAAAAAAAAACAGTTTAACGACCAAAATGAACTTAATTATTATTTCAACAGGTTTATTCCAGAAAATACAGTGTTATGCACTTACAAATATCCCTCCTTTCTGTAGTTTTTGCACTTCCACAAATACGAACCGATTTTTCGCCTTTGACGTTTTGGAAACTTTACTCCACACTGACGTTGCTGAGTTTGAATGGTCTACAGATTTTTAAAGAATAAAAAAATTATCTTATTTTGTTTGTTCATATTTATACGATATTACATGAAGAATAGGAATGTAATCCAATGGTAGTTCTTTTTAACACGAGTCGCATGTTTACAATAGAAGAAACAATTATCTAGCGTATAAACTTTAATAAGCCTATTTGAGTCCAGTATCCGATATACTTTACTTTATAAAACTCTTAACCTTGTCCAAATGCACCTACCTTTCAAATCACTTGAGAGTGGTGGCAATGGTGCCTATAATATATAAAACAAATCTTAAATTTTAACTTTACAGCTGTTCTTCAATATGTGTAAATACAAAAGTCATAAAATAGTTGAAACGTCAAAACATAGGCCTAATAAATTAGTCATCTGAGATATCCATCATCATCATCATCATCATCATTATAATAACCAATATCATCACCAACATGACAACCATCATTAGTCCTCATTAATCCACTACCGCTACATCATCACCACCATCGTCAGCAACATCATGATCAAAATAATAATTATCATTATCACCATCGTCGTCGTCATTAGCAGGAGATATCTCTCCCTTCGGAAACATCACTATCATTATGGCTATCATCATGAAAATTGTTAACATTATCATTCATTTATTTTCATCTAGCACTGTCAGAAAATTTCACCTTAATATCTTGATCTGGAATGACATTGATGTGAGGAGGTTCCGGCTGTCGGCGCGTTGACAAACTATTTTTATCTTCATCAATCTTGTATTTATTTTCGCTAAAAATACGATGTTCTGACGGCAACTTCGATAACCATGATTCGACAGTTTTCTTTTCTCGGCATGTATGTGGATGTTGTCTCTCTGTGTAGAAAGTCTGAGACTGTTCAGAAATGGATTTATCGACAGAGTTACCCTTGTCAAAGTCATTAGAACTGCTTGAAACTCGCGAGATATATGGATTGATACGCCTAAGATCGTCTGGTGATGTAGAGTAACCACGTGATGAATGACCTGAAAATGATTCGTCAATGAAATCGTCGCGGAGTATGTAGTCATGTGACATTACAGATTCACGCTCAGAAATCGTAGATAGTATTGATCCCGACCTGTCGCGCACTCCGCCACCTCCAATGTCTTTCGTATGCAAAAGGGGGAGGTTCAGTCCTCGTTCGTATATTGACATGTTCATTTTCTTTATGGTTTTCATTTTCCGCCGTAAAAACTTCCTTTCTTTCTGTTCGATCAACTGCCTATGGGTTAATTCGATCTCTCGTTCACCATCAGTCCCGGTGACTTCTTCAACACAATTTAAATTTGAAAAGGAAAAATAACAATTACTATTTAAATATAGCAGATAAATAATTGCCCCATTATTGAAATAACGGCCGAAATATGAGTAATTATACATATGTAAATACACACACACCCACACCACCAA